GGGGGGGGGGGGGGGGAGGCTGCCGTTGCGGTGAGAAGTCGGTGGGCACGAATTCCTATTCCTGACTCGAATTTCCGGTGACTTTTAGGCACTCTTACAGCCGTAATATAATGAGTTTTAAAGATGCGAATTCAGTGGCTCGAGGATGAAGAGTCTCATAAAAAGATGAACTCTCCGAAATGATTACCTTCGAAGAGATGGAGCGGGATCATTTACAAACACTTGAAGGAAGATCAGTTGGCGGTAATCAGGTTCTAAATTTCAACTCTGAAATAGTCCATCATAATATTGTCGGGTCGGAAAATGTTGAAATTTAATGTTATCAACCACCCGGTATCGTGTAAAAATCAAGGAATTTTCTCAAAATCGGCATTAAAAAATAAAGTAAAATTAGAGAAATCTAATTTTAAACTGCAGTCACCCTGCGTGATCCCGGTGCAGATTTTCATTCCATCCCTTTTCATTAAATAATCTAATATTATTTTCATTCTAGCCGTTCTGGACGCGCCTCGCGCGTCCGTCACGACCAGTCGAGAGGCTGCGCCCCCTGGACCAGCGGTCACTCGCTACGCGAGTGACATTCGGCTCGCTTCGCGAGCCATTTTCTGATTAGTTGGATATTAGATCACTATGATGTATACATTTTGGAGCCTCTCAAGACAAAAATGATTTTGTCACAGAACCTTGTTACCGAAGCGTGCCATCACTTGCACATCAATAAATATGTGGAGATGAGGCACTGATGGGGATCGATCATTCGATCATCATCGATCTTCAAAAATTCATTTGACTGGGACGTTAGTCCCAATCGGGTGAAGGAAACTGACGACCGTGGATGCGGCAGGATGCCCCTCCGCGATTTGACTTGCTGGAGTAGCAAAAGTTTATTTTTCCTTCTAAGAAGATTATCGGTGGCGTAGGGATCGAAGAACTGCTCAATGATAGTGTAGTTTAAGTTATGAATAACTATGAGCCGACTTGTGTTTATTTTAATAGTTTCATTGCATACAGGGTGTCCCAAAAGTCCGTACCCCCCCTCGTAACTTTTGAACGGTTAGAGATAGAAAAACGAAACTTTGAGAACGTTTCTATCATAAAGGGGTCCATCTTCTAGGGGGGGGTCAACATTTTTGTCCCCCCCTCAGGGGGGGCGCGGGGGCCCCCAA